ACCTGTGAGAACTTAACACAACCGAATACTCCAAATGAAAAATACAGTACTATTAGCATAGGAATACGAAAATCGAACAGGAAATTACCTTTGAAAATAGACTAGTTACAAAAACTTTAAATACAAGAGAAGTGGAGAACAGAGCTATTTCAAACTGCGGAAACAGTTACCCCGTAGTACAATTATCATTTTACAACCAGAATTACATATATTTACGGCAATAAAACACTATAATAACGACCTAACATACAAGAAAATTCTTCACTACTACCAGTCTGCCAAAATACCTGGGAAATTGCTCAATAGCAACTCCAGTGGTATAAATGAATAGGGGAATACATAAATAAAACACAATTATAGATATGATCGTCGCACCACTTTCAAAGCAAACATGCACAATAATAAACCTTTTAAACAAGTATTAAGTTACTTTTCAAGAAAATATCAGTACAACCAAGGGGTATTGTTACTTTTCCTATGCCATGTCAGTGAGACTTCTGCTTCTGCATTACCGCTGACAGGGCAGGAATGAAGAGAAACGAGGTACAGACGAACCATATTACCTAAAGAATGTAGCCAAATGACAAGTCTCGAAAAAATTTGTTTGAAGTTGAGGGCTTATCTAGTTGTTACGTTTCACGTCTTTTGCAGTAGGCAAATGTCATAAAAGGACAAAAAGAGTTTAAATATTAAGGGATTGTTAACAAACCCAAATAAAAAAAAACACCGAGTTCCATCAGATCATACCGACTCTTGAAATTTTTTTATCTTTTATTTTGCCACTGCTTGCCTAATGGCAAATCTCGCACTGATTACATTGGAAATATATGGCATTCTCCGAATTGCAAGTTATTCTTTGATTACTTTTTAGTTGACCTCTTGTTGTGTTATTAGTTTTTACTTTGGTATCTTCTGAATGCTTACAGTTGATGCATGATTTCCTGTTGCATTTATAAAACCTGACTTTACTTATCTCGGTGTTCCTGGTTTCACTTTAACTCTAACCAGCATGTCGAGCATCTCCTATAAGCAATTTTGAAGAGATTCTTGCGTTATATGCATAAAATTCCACTTACATAAAGTCATAGAGCAGGAAAAGGTAGTTAGTTTATCGTAACGTCAATCTATAGTTCCATTGCTACAACTCGTAAAACTACGTTTTTCACCTCCAGATTGGGATAATATCCAAAGGTTTCTTGCAGATTACTTCCGTAATGCGATAATAAATGCGATATTGGCTATATAATGTGATGGGTTCTGTTTTAAAATTGAAAAAGTTAACGAAAATTCACGTATTCTACTTGTGGGCTATGGTGTATGACTGAGTTTAGCATTGATTGCGTTATATCTCAGTGCGTGCCTAAGCACAAGTTGGCATAATTCAGACCTCATTTCCTAAAACGTGCATGTCATTTATTCACAGATAAGGTATTGATTAATTAAAAATGACGTGATGAATTGAATGCTTCTAAGATTAGGTTTTCTTGTAATAGGCATAATATGTTTAGGGCCTGGCCACATTTTGTAACAGCAGGGGAAGGTAGTGTCGTATTGTTAGAACATTATATCAAATTTAAATGAAAAGTAAATTTAGTCGCAAGTGGGGCTTCAGTGTACCAAGGTGGACAATGACAACAGCTGGTAAGTTCACCTTAATAAAGAATTAAAGGATGATTTAGTAAGATAAATGTAGTAAGATAGTTCAATGTAGAAAATTCATGAACGCTGATTACAAGTTGTTATAACATTAATTAAGGAGTTTCAGAAGATAGTCGAATTACTTTTCGAAGCAGATTCATTTGGTATATATTTCTCAGCTCTTAACCTAATACACCGACGTGTTTACGCCATGCACTATTCTATAGCGCGAGATATGATTATAACCCACTTTCTGATTGTCTGAGTGGGAAAAAATAAATAAATTAAAAATATATATTTTTACTCGTTTAAGGAAGACTTCGATTTGATAGTACTTTATTATCCGAGAAACATATTTATACAAAATTTGGTTTATACGTATGAACGCGACGGTAAATCGACATATGAAGTTGTCTAAACCAGGGCTTCCCAAACTTCTGGGCTCGCGGCCCCTTTCGAAATATTAAAATTTTTCGCAGCCCCTGTTCACGTTGATAATGCTAAACAGTTCGAAATATTTTTATTGACACAGTCAATTTTTTCACCTTTTAGTAGGCCTACCCGATAACAAAAATAAAATCACTTTCACTACGATTAACACTACTTAATTATTCACCGGCGGCATGGTCCTTATCAGGCTTTGTTACTCACTTTCAATGATCAAATTTAGCATAAAGCAGCGGTTCGTGCAGCACTAGATTATCAGAGACAAAACTCACGGCGCACCTACACGAAAAAATGCTGCGTTCAGCTGAAAAAAAAACAATTTTATCATCGTTAATGTGCACTTTATGCCTTTTAAAGTTTATAAATAAGTAGTAGACCTAAAGAATGCAGGCGAGAGGTTAATTTCTCCTCCTTATCTCCGCCGTGTTCTTCTTTAAGAAGCTAAAAAAATCACTCATGTTGCAGCAAATAGGGTTTACCTCTACTATTACGTAACAATAGACCCTACGTAACAGAAAGTGAACAATATAGAGCGGTGAAATGAAATCATTGATTCATATTATAAATCATTTACAATGATGAGAAACAATAAAACCTTTAGAGAAAATAAAATATATAAAATATTCAATCATAAATTAGTTGATATTTAACACAAATCTCTTAATTTTCGAATCGCACTTAGCGAAGCGCTTTCGGGAACCGCTGGCATAACGATTGAAGCCGGCATCGTTGTGCAATCAAATCAAATCGGGTTCACGATCAGTATATAGACATTGTTATGCAAGCGCGAGGATTCTACCATGTTTCCCCGAAAATAGGAAAATGCGACCTAGCTCTCCACTTAAAATAAAACTTACTCGATAGCGCAAATTTTTTTTTGACCCAGTCGATTGCAAGAAATCTTTTCTACTCCTTTTTAATGGTTAATAATCCGTTTAGCAGTTATTTTAAATAAAAACGTGTTATTTATAAGTAAAATAGGTTTTCCTATTTTGTATATTTAAAGTTCACGTAATTCCCTAATTTGTTACCAAAAAATGAAAATAAAAGACATTCCCATCAAAATAAGCCCCATTATTATTTTTCGAAAGAAAAATTGGAGACACTGTCTTATTTTGGGAGAAACACGGTTAGATGATGTATTCACTCGGAATCGTGAGATTTTTTACACTTGTTTTACTATTTGTATTTTGAAGAGTCTCAAAAAGTGCAATAGACATAGTAATTTGTGTAAAATTTGTGTTCTCTTTGCGACCCCCAAAATTCGTTTCGCGGTCCCTTGCGGGACCGCGGCCCCTAGTTTGGGAAGCCCTGGTCTAAACCATAGGTTCTCAAAGTGCTCCGTACGGAGACCCAGGGCTCCGCGAGAGAAACCCAGGGGCTCCGCGAGCTATTCGATCACTTTTCAAAATACCGACTTGGCTAATTTAAAACTGTTCCTAGAAGCAAAAAGAGCTTTGATAAAATTTGACAACAATATAGCCTCGAAATATGGCAATGTGGCGGACTTAAAAAATGACATTATTTATAAGCAGGAGCGCAGCCAGGATTCTTAAGAGGGAGGAGGTTCAAATTTGAAATCGGAAATTTACGCGCGACATTCTTGGCGATTAAAAAAAAAACGGATAACGAGATTTCTGTTGCGTAAAATATTCAATTCATGCCCGATGCGAGCATTTAAAGTGTCTTGTCGTAATAATTTAATTGTGCTCATCGTTACTCACGTTCGATTCGAGATTACTATTAGGATTACTAAAATGAAAGTATACTATTCTAAAATAACATAAACTGCGTGATAAACTGCTAACTATAAATAAATTGGAGTCGTATTTTTGCGATCTTGGGATTTGTTAACTTGATTTGTTCTTTCGCACTCAAGATTAGTTTTAAGCAAGATATCGCCGTTTGAAAAACCACAAGGTCTTGGCAAAATACGAACGATTGAAATTTATTTTAGTGCATGCGGCTCCGTCGGTAGTTTCAGAGTGGAAAAATGGTATATCGCGCGCTTAATTGACTGTGTTTCAATTTCGCAGTTACCACGATGAATAACCGAAGAAAACCTAACATAACACCAAATTTTGTGATTTACAATGTCTATAAAAGCGTTTTTATTCTGACGTGAGTCTGCTGAAACAAAACTTATAGTCTTATTTTTCATTTTAAGTTTTATTTCTAATATTTCAGAATGCCGCTTTTTAATCAAGAAATTTGAATAGCGGATTTACCTCTTTATTAACTATTATTTTTAGCACTTCGTCGCCGATGATTATGATATGGTAACATGTTTTTCACATTGAACTCATAATTCCCACGAGAACGAAAAAGCAATTATCATCGTCATTGTGGAACAATACATGTATATGCCGAAGGAAATTTTTGATTTAGGGAGAATTAACACCGGCGTAACGATGTGTGAGGTTTAAAAACACGCCATGCTGACGAAAACAATCGGCGATTGTAACAAAATGCAATCGCGCACGTTATTAGCGGCCTTTTGAGTCTTCCAAAAATGTCAAGAGGGGAAAAGATTCGACCCCTAATTTATTAATATGTTTGTCATGTGTCAAATTTACAGCTTTAGTATATTATACAATTTATCTTTGAAATGTAGATTTATTTATGACTTGTATTAACCCTATTAAAAGCGTTTAGTATTTAAATTGAGTAAAGTACGTTTAACTTACTCAGGAATATTAATCGGAAAGTAACAATTTTAACATTTATTTTGGGGCTCCGTGAATAATAGTCACACACTCCGCAACGCCAAAAGTTTGAGAACCCCTGCTAAAAGATTGGCAGATTCAAAACAGTGTTTCCGCACAATGTTAAGACTTAACATTAACACCCCATTCAAAAGAATAGAACCTTGTAATTTTCAATTGAGGATTACTGCACTGCAATGTAATTCGCGGTTACATTAAATTTATCTCTTTCATCTAAAAGTTCCAATTTATATTTTCTTACATAAAAATATCAAACTTGGCCAATATAAGGGGAACTTGAATATTGTGTATTGGACTGCAGATCCGTTCTCCTTGTTCACTTTCTACTTCGAATCCGTATGTGGTATTTGCCACAATGGTGCTTCCGTAGCATCTAAATTCAGTTATAGGAAACTCAATTATAGGCTAAATTCTTATGATCTTTATATTTACAGTTATATCTTGTATTGTTTGAGGAAGTTAGCCCATGATCTAACAAAGCTCACAAATAAACTTACTATTTCGTTGAAAGAGATCATATTATTTTTACTTTTGGCTAATATACTTGCAATTACATAACGCTTGATACAGGCTGAGTTTTCAACACAAACATGATCTGAATATCAAGTATACAATCTTATATAGAAATAAAATCATGTGGTGGCGTAACAAACGTCATTTGTTAGACTGCCTTAATTAAGGATTTTGTGGCGACAAAATAACTTTTAAATCAATATATTACAGTTATCAGTTTAAGGATTGTAGAATTCTTCAGCAATCGGAAGGGCGTATAAGTTTTGTAAAAATGAAAAAATTACGACCAAATCCAATGTATCGGGCAAATATATTTTCCTACCTATCTTATTGGTAAGTAAAATACTTTTTTTAACAATTACGGTTTACGCTATAACTATTACTATGCTATAACTATTACTACTAAAAAAGTGAAAGCCTCCGAAACTGATAAAGATAACCAGAAAAAATGGGATCCTTAAATCGACAGTCGAATTATTATTTTTATTATATTGCAAGCATTGTATAAATATTTATTCTTTTTCATATGCGTTTTCTAATAGTTCAAATTACAGAAATCGTTTTGAAAAAAAAATGTTTTGAGGGCATTGAAATGAAATATATATAAATTTGTGAATGTAAATTTATCTTATTTGTTATGTCAAAAAAATATATAATTCGAAATATTCACAAGAATCGATAAAACCGTACATGAAAAAATGTAATAGCATCAACATTCAATCAGGTGGTTGAACGACTTTTTTGCTGAAGGATCCAAGCGGGCATTACAAGAATCTGATATGTTTGAACTCGATGCTTCTAATATGTCTGCAGGAATTACAAGTGATTTAGAAAGGTACAATTAGAAAAAATGAAGTAACTCATTTCTTGTACAATACCAATGTCGCAGATGATGAGCAGTGCTGGTGTAATCCCAAAGTGGATGGGAACCAAGCATGATTGTAATTTACGAAGTCACAATAACACCACTTTATTTGTCAATTCTTATTCAGAAATTGGGAGAAAGAAATTGAAAAATCTACGAAATCAACCGAACCGAGTTTAATTCGAGCGGTAGCAATGACATATAGAAGGGGATTTGTGTTATGTGGTGTTTTAGCTCTTATAGAAGTTAGTAATGAATATTTTAATTTCTGCAATTTTCCATTGTATAATGCTGTCGCCTTTTGAGATTTATTATTGTATATTTATAAAAGATGATAAGCAGATTAAGTCCTTGTGAAGCGTGTGGATCTTGAAGTTTTTCGGGTTACACATACAACTAAAAAGTAATTAAAATATAATAAGAAATGTAAATCAACTCATTTGTTTTAGGAATGCCTTCGAACAGCAGTACCAGTCTTGATAGCATATCTCGTAAAATACTTCGAGAATCAAACGGTTACTCCAGTTTGGCATGCATATGCTTATGCCGCTGGAATAAGTGTCTTTACAATATTATTGCCCTTTTTTCATCATCAATATCATTACATAGCGCATAGAATTGGATGGCGTATGCGTGCATCAACCTGTGCTTTGATGTATAAAAAGGTAGGATACCTTCGTATAATCAGTAATATTCTAAAATCTTCTTACTATCTTCAATATTGCATACCAGGTACAAATGTATTTATTACCGTTTTAAATCATCAATAAATTTAAAATCTTCAATCAATTGACAAATAGTATTGTCCGCTTTTATCGAGATTATTGCATTATCAATACCAGATCTTGCATGTCCTTATATTTTATTTTTCAAAACAATCATCCGATTCCTTTAATGGTTCAATTACCTTCTCCTAAGAATTAGCTTGTTTCCCCCTATTTGTAGTAATACGTTTTTGCACATTTTTGTCATTTTATAGATATGTTATCTACTTTAAATTTAATCCGCAACACTCGCATGTATAAACAAAAGGTAACATTACCGGCCAACCTTACATTCAGGCGTATGCCATGTGAGAATGTGTTGGAGCTGATTTCTTTTCCATAGTTTTCGGTTTATTGCACAAAACAATGACATTCTACTCGGAAAATCATTTTCATAATTACAAACCTGTCTGTTTCAATTTATTGAATCTCAAGGGTTCGTTTTGCAGACGCTCCGTTTGAGTCAGAAATCATTAAATGATACGACGACAGGTAAAATAATCAATCTTGGAGCCACAGATGTTCTTCGATTTGATTTGGTGAGTATATGTCAAACAATCATCTATCATATCTGAATTTTTTATATACATATATAGCTGAATTTTCATTATTTTAATGACTTTCAATAGAGATAAAATCTAAAATAAAAAAAAAGTGAATGCGTGATATGTAGCTTTGTAACAAAACAAAAACTGAAAACCAGCTGCGCCTTTTAAAAAAATGCGTTTTCTAATAGTTCAAACTACAGAAATTGCTTTACAAAAAAAAACTCATTCAAAAATGACCTATATCGTTTAGTGGCAACTTTTGGTGTAAAAAGTGGTTTTGTATATTTTCGTTTAATTAGCTTCCTGGCTTTCTGCATTATCTCTGGGTTGGACCCTTGCAATGTTTAATTGTTGGAATTATACTCTGGCAAGAAATTGGAATTGCTGTATTATCTGGAATGGGAGTCTTGATTTTGATCATGTTTTTACAAACATTCAGCGGACGGGCATTCGGAAAAACCAGGTAACTGTCACCCAAAACATCTATCACCGAAAAAAATGGATTTGTATTTCATAGAATTGACATATTTTCTCCTTAATTTTCATTCACTTGCATTGCTATGGCTGTCAACTGTTCGCGGCGTTTAAATAGTAAAAAAGAATTATTTTCTACTAACTTCATACTATGCGTTCATTTTTTGTGGTATGTTCAACAAATGTCCCGCTTCACCCATACAATTTTCTGGTTGAATGTTGTGTGATAGCACTTGAATAATACCGCTATCTTTTAAATATAGAATTATGACAGCTGTTCTTACGGATGAACGCATACGATTAATGAACGAAGTGATAACTGGAATGAGAATTATAAAAATGTATGCTTGGGAAAAACCATTTGCAAAGCTTGTTTCGAACACTAGGAGGTAATTTCATTCATGTTGTTTTGTTAGGGCTATATAAATTTGATAAGGTAACTTTCTGTATCGTAAACGTCATTGTGCAAAAAAAAAAAGATTCAAATTTTTATAACGAGGTGTCTCGAATTACTTGCATCACTTACTTCACCACTAGGTATATGTGGCACATTGGGGCGCAAACTATATAACTGTTGCGAGTCATCCAACTTTTTTAAGTCTGGACAGGGTACACGTGATATAACTCATAGGATTGCCAAAAATGCGACTAGACCATGCAGGCGGCAATTATGTTACATATACCACGTACGTGAATTTATATTCTAAGAATAGTGCTACAATTTTAACGGGTATTATAGATCCGCGTACTAAGTTTGTTCGTTTTTCGATTCGAAGTTCAAATATATTGTTTATTATGCATTTTTTTCTGTAGGAAAGAAGTTGAGAAAATTCTTTTATCGTCTTCATTGAAAGCTTGTAATTTCTGTTTCTATGTATGCCAAGAAAAAATACTGACTTTTGTTACGGTATTGGTATATGTCGCATTGGGAGGTACGATAACTGCGTCGAAGGTATGTTTATATTACCCAAAGATTTATCTCATGGACTGATTCAAATATTTTTTTGAACTTTGGATATTTCTCAATTTTACCAACAACTAAATAATTAGTTTACAATCAGTATCAAGTATTGTGGTAAATATCAATAGATAAGACGTAATTTTTACACCTCTCTTTGATAAAATCGGGCAAATGTTACAGAGACAATTCCAGTCAAGAACATATTATGACACTCATCAGAAACATTATACTTTCTATTAAAGATGGAAAACTTCTTTGTTAAAAAGACCTCTTACAATTACATAAAGTTAAACTAATTGAAAAATCATATTATATTACATTATATTATTACGTTCTTATACGCAAAGTTAATCGACAATTTCAAGAATACTCGGAGAATAGTTTCACCATGTGCTGGAGGCATCCAGTAGTGCTAATAGATAAGTCTTGAAGCGTATACATCGTTGCAGTATAATGCGGTCACATTATTGTTTTTGTTCCAAATTCAACTATACATATATAAATATTTGTTTTATGGTTTTGTCCATCAGTTCTGCACTATGAACTCCAGTTGGCTTTGAATTTCCGCGTGCATTAACATTGTTGTTCGAGTCACTAATTTCATTCGCAAGAATTGAGGTATGAAATCGTGATATAAATGTCCTAACACGTAATAATCCTTAGATATGCATCCCACAATATAACTGAAATAACATCACCTGCATTGTTATAATACAAACTTATACTACAATATAGAAATTTAAAGTGTAACCTAATATTACCAAATATATGTAATATTCAATGCTCCCAAATAGTCGGTGTGGTTTGTAATGCTTTTAAGGTGCGTTTACACTGGATGCGACGCGCTGCAGTCACGCTCCTGGTGGCGCGACAGAGGTGTTTACATTGCGCGCGTCATTTTTGTATCGCTCGATGGCGCTATTGGCTGTTGCTTAGAATCATAGACGAGGCAAATTCAGTTATAAATTTCGCGTGTCGCCCGCTTAATTATGAATAGAAAAGAACAGCGAACACAACTAAATATATTATATTAGTTCCAGAGCAATTGAAGTCATTAAATATGATGGTAACGTTAAACAAGATACTGTTGTCACACATTACAAATACGAAGACGGGAAAATGAAAATGACATATATATAAACAATTAATCATTGAAGAACATTAAAGTTCAAACTTGCCGTAAATGTTTCTTGTGCATCTTGCCCGCGGTAGTGCCAATCTTCTATTTGCTACATTTATGCTAGGAAGCGAGTCTAACCATTTTAGTAATCCAGCTTCCAACAAATTCTAATATTATTCCGAAATCACTTATTAAAATGAAATAATGAATTTTTCGGGGTGCTTA